CATCTCAATAACAGTCGAATGTTCAAAATTTCACTTTTTAGGATAAATTTCTGAATAACTTATTTAAAAATTAGCAATCTAGGGTCGAATTTCGGTTACATTCATTGATCGAAAAACGTTATTATTCAAACGCCAGAACAAATGTGAACGGTATTATAACTCTTGCATTATCTTTACCATTAAACGAATTGAAGTAGTTTACTCGAAAAATTTTTCTTAGCGTTATTAAATTCTTATCAACACATTATTTGCACATGCTAAAAAGCACTCGATTGTTTGCTCGATCACTACAATCGTTCTGGCTAAATTTGTGAGCTAAAATATCTATCAAGTGATTATTACTGCCAAAACATTCATACAAAATGGTATACTACGTGAGAATGACAAACGCAATACACAGCCAACACACCAAAAGTGTCAATGAACGCGAGAAAAACCGACTTACTTGTTTTTTGAGAAAAAACTTCGGATTTCAAAAATAGCCTTTTAGCTCTTTGAATTTAATGAACATTTTATGATTAACACTTTTTGATAAAAATAACCCTATTTGAGAAAACTGGATTAATAGATAAATTTAGAACTCCGCTTAGAAAGCTGAAAACTTAATTCCACTTTCGGAACTAAAAATCGATCACGTTTTTCGTGACCTTTACACTTTTGCTGTTCGATAGTGGAATTTGCCTTCCTTTAAATACAGGAAATGAACTGAATTTAAAAAGAAATCATAAATCAAACCGAAGTAAATTTGAGCCGAAAAAATTTCAAGACTTTTCCTGACAAAAAAATCATCAGCACCTATATAGGAGTCAGGACTATGTTCAACTCTTAAAAAAATAAGGAAATACGACAAACCTAGCCGCTTGACTGTTGGACACACTCGAGAAAATGAAAGAATTTTTCTTATAAGTATCTATTTTTAGCATAAAAACACCAGAAGCGCTTTAAATTTCAAAAAAGATTAAATTTCGGACTTTTTTATACTAAATTCAACCATTTGCAGACACTGCATCAAGGGCTATTTTTTTTACTCCGCTGAGAAATCTAAAACTGGAAATCCACTTGTGAAACTTAAAGTAAAACATAGCTAGAAAAAATAGTTTAAAAAAAGTAACACAGGCGATGCTGAGCTTCGCATCACTTGCAATATATCGAAATCGTAGAATTGCAAGCTACCAAATAGACAGTGATACCTATCTCAGAACACGTGGTTAGACGTAAGCCAATAACACGTGGTTATACATCAATTGATCCGAAAACAAAAAAATGCCAAAGAGAACAGATGTCATACAAAAAATTGAGCGCTTGAAAGTTTGAATTTTAACTTTTATACTAACAACTCAAACAAGTATTATCATTTTATTCTTAAACCGATGCAAAGAATTGATTTTTAAAATTCCGCTAGGAAATCTGAAAACTAACATCCACTTTCGAAAGAAAGTTTTGTTCACGTATTTTTACGCGCCATTTATCCTTCGCAACCTATTAGCAAAGGAATTCCTTTTAGCAAAGTCAAAGGTGAAATCAATTTGCAAAAAAGCGTGCACAGATTTCCGTTTTTCTCAAAGAACAAAATCAATTCGACCTATATAAGTGTTCATTGACACTTAAACTATGTTCATTGACACTGAAAAAGCATCCGATCGCAAAACCTAAACTATAATTTTCTGAGTTTGGACGACAAAACCTATCAGCAGTTTTTTAATTGAATTACATCTTTTAGCTATCTATTCTAATACCAACACATTAATACATGGAATGGTTAGTATAACTTTTATCGAGATTAACTGCAACAAAGCAGTAACAAAAAATCGCAAAAACGAAACCAGACCATCAGAGAGTTGAAGCATAGCCAAAAATGTAAAGAAGTGTACAGAACAAGGAAACTAAAACATAAAAAGATTTAAAATTTTTGAACCATTTACGATACTCGAAACTTAAAAAAAAACACTTGCGAGAACTCGACAATAGCAAAAATTAGAAATGAACCTCGAATTAGTTGCCTCTGCGATTCGCACTTGCGACCTAGAGATTAAGAGTCTAACACACTAACCACTCAGCCACGGAAGCTTAATATACACCAAAAACTAGGCAAAAAGACAGCAGAGAACAGATGCTATACAATTTCCAATGCTACAGTGAAATTTCCAAATGAGTGAACACCTTTAATCAACATATTTATTTGTAAATTAAATTAGAAAAAAAGAAGGTTCGTAATAATACACAAAGCTGATCACAAGTGTAAATCACATTTAGGCTCAAGAATTTTTAACAATTGGCACGTTTTTAAAAAATATATATCCCATTTCGAAAAAACTGAATCATTAAATAACTTTTCGGCTGAGCTGGAAAATCAGAAAATCACTTCCATTTTTGAATACAGGAAACACTCACGTTTTTTGTGAAAATTACACTTTTGCTTTTCGATGGCGAAAATTACAATTTGCCGCAACACAGCCTAAATAGGTGTCTTCTCTTCGTTCATTGACACTTAAAAAAACTACAGCATAAAAAGGCTCAATTAGTGTAAGAATTGCAGCTGAATAAAAATCGTTAAAAAATTATGTCATACAATTAATGCAATTCAGTTTTTTTTTAAAAAACGGAAAGTTCAGATCCCATTTTCTCGACACAAATATTTTCATTTTTTAAATGGAATCCCAATTACTACTAAAATGGCTTTAATATGATACCAAACTTCGTACGATTTCCCTTGAGTCAGAGTTCCTTCCAGTCAGTCGCTTAATGGCGCTGAGGGAACAAAATTGTATCAAATAAATAATTTTACAATTAAAAACAAGGTTCATTTTTTACATCATTTACTTTTTCATTATGAGAGCCAAAACTGTCATCAATTTTGCAAATGAACATGACGTGACCTTTTAAATCCAACACAATTAGGAAACTGTAGAACTTAATCACTTTAACAAGAATTTTGATTTTTTTAAGCAAAAACAAGGATAGCCGTTTGTTGCGCAAGAAAAGAGGAAATGATCATTTTGAAAAACCTTTAAAAAAATTCCTTTTTTTAATTGTGTCACTTATTTCCATGGTGCGATGAAAGAAATTAGCATAAAACACTAAAAAAACAGGCATAATTGTCTACTTTTGTCAACAAAAACTTTTGAAAAAGAAAAATTCAAAGAAAAACATAAATTAATTCGAAAAACTTCATACATTTCCCTAAAATTTTGGCAAATTATGTTTTGAATTTAAAAAAAACAGTGTTATCAAGAAAGCGCTAAATTTGAAGAACTTTAAAAAGCCAATGATGTGCTATGTGATGTTTAATTATCAGATTTAGGTTTTTCTTGGCTCAATTAAAATTGTTAATTATATTACCTATATCGACTAAAAAAATTTCAAATCACTTTTTCTTGAATCCGAACTTTTTGTTCCTACCATTTGAAAAATGGGGAGGAATTTTGTATTCGGATGTGTTTGTTTCTTTTTTCTTTTTGTTTTCCACGCAAAACCAGGTACCACAAATAATTATCGGAATGGGTCGAGTGTTATATCATATTAAAGCCTTTTAAACCGTGATTCAAACGACATTAAAAAATTCAAAGTTTTTTCAGTGTCGAGAAAAACCGGTTTAAAAATTTTGATTTTTGTCTTTTTTCGAACTAATATGGTGTGAGCGTGTAGGGCTAACAATAGCTTATTTAGATGTGCTTGAAGTAGTTTTTGAAGTTTTTTCGCGCCATTTTGTAAGCAAAGGCTAAAAATTCCAAAAATTTTTTTTCGACTTTTAGTCATTTTTCTTCAAAAACTGTTTTTGGAATGGCCTTTTTACTTTGACTGTCAAATATTCTTAAGTTCTTTTTTCCATTCAGATCTTTTTATCACACCATGCGGAAAAAAACGACAATAATTTGAAAAATTTATATATTTTTGTATTTTTCTAAGAGTGTGGTCGGAACGGAACATTCTGAGCTACTTGCACAGTAACCGGCTATCCTTATTTTAATTTAAATTCGTTTGAACTACAAATAAAAGGGCTTTAAAATAAATCATTTGACACATTAAAATGATTATTTTTGTATCTGAATTTGCGTGAAAAAAAGCCCGAGTAAATTTGTCTTCGGGTGAGTTTAAGTTTTAAGCTTTTTTTTATTTTGCAAGGAATAACAAAACACTAAAACAACCCGAAGACAGAAATCCTCCTCTTCCAGTGGTCGGAAGAAGAAATTAGAAAAAATTTGCATTCATAAAATTTTAAAGTGATAACCAATTTTCCATTCCCTAAGCAAATTTGAATGAATTTTTTTTTGGAATTTAGTCCAATGGAATTTCGCCCTAATCACTACTCTTCCAATCTACACATCAACAACTTAGTTCATCTACACAACATGAAACTGCATGGTACAAAGAAATAACATGAAACTCACATGTAGGATTATAATTTTAGTATGGACACTGGAGAAAACATGAATACAGTGCTATTTTCAAAATCTTTTCAAAACAAACTGATTTAGATCAATACAAAATTAGATAAGCACATGTACTTTTTAGCCCCTGCTCCCTTATACCAGCCTGATGCATTCAATGTCATAGAAAACTTAAAAATATATTGACAGCAACCGAGAAGAAATTACTGAAAACTAATTCATTTGAGACAATCAAAATGAAAATCCTATGGAAAAAAGTAATCGTCTTCCATGTACAATCGCAAAGTAAAACTCCATCAAACATATAATGAGAAAGCGACCAATTTAAAGAGTCATTTCCATCGCAAAAAATGATTTGAAATAAAAGGCAAAACTTGGCCTTGAATGATTAGCGCTGGTACTTCGAAACCAGTGATGACCGTTTAGTTGAATCCATTTTAAGGGAAAATTTTGAAATTTAAATTAAAACTGTTCAAAATAATTATAAAAAGTCTTGGCTTCAAGTTAAATTTTCCCAAAAATACTAAATTTCCCTTTAGCAATTTACATTGTTCCGAAATCCGGTATTTTTGCTAATTTTGGGTACTTTTTGCAATTTTTAAACAAGAAACCAAAAGCAATTTTTTCGAGCATATATTTTTGCAACACAAATTTACCAGTTTTGTCGTTGAAACTCAGATGGTTTGCTATTTACGCGGAACTGTGAAACGTGAAAATAATTGACAAAAGTTACTTGTGTACTTTATCGTCGGATTAAAATCCGCTCGAACAAATTTAATTGTTTTTTTTGCTCGATTTATATTAAAACTTTTCATAGAAACTGATTGGGCTCATAATTTTACATTTAAGCAAATTGAAATTTAAATGAAAACTTAAATTAAAGTAAACATTTTTTTAAATGGACATTTTTCAGTAGAAAAGTGATCTTTTTTTTTATCGACTGACCTTTTTGATCATCTGACAGAGATGCATCCACGCGAACTGAGACAGTCTGTTGTTGGCTCCCAACTTCAGCTTAGTCGCCACTTCATAGTAGTCTATCATCTCGAACAGCGCAATCGCTACCTAATGAAACGAAACCAGACATGTGGAGTTTTAAAAATCAGAGTAAAATATGTGAGTAAAATATTTTATTAAAATTTCATTCGCGACAATCAAAACGAACATCTTATGGAAAAAGCGCAACATAGTTCATGTACTATCGCAATGTAAAAGTCCATCGAAAAAAATAATGAGAAAGTGTTACTTTTTTACCGAGTAAAATATGTGCATCATTTAACAATCCACCCTCCCTCCCTCCCTAAGATCCCTGGTAAAGAATTACCACCCTTATAACGAGCTTATTTATCGGTTAAGCATAAGTCAAGCTAATTATGAACCTTCTAATGAATCCCGCTTTTCCAATAGAAAAATTTGTTAACATGATCTAAAAAATGACTTGAAATGAGGTAAAAAAAACATGGTTTAAAGCATTTAATGAGTGGGATCAAGTGCAGAATCTTGTTGAGTTTGTTTTCATGAATACGAAACTACAAAAACCATTGTTCAAAAGACAAGTGACCAATTAGCATCTCGAGGGGCTTAACTTCAAATAAAGAAGCGCTGTTGAATCCTTAAGAAAAACATTTTTCCAAGCGCGGAAGGACCATTATTACGTTTGTTCATCTTTTAACGACAACTACTGCTATATCGATTTCAAATAATACATACAATTTTGATCATTTTAGTGTTGGGAAATTTAATGATCAAAAATACTGTAGTATAATAAATATGTAGTGTATCAGAAACTGAGCTAGCTGAATAATCAGGAAGTTCTTTTCAGAAAAAAAAAACATTTCAATTAAACGTTTGAAGTATCAATCAACGTTTTGTTTTTCTCACCGTGTCTTCAAGGTAGCAGTTTTCTAGATCAAGTATGACAAACTGAGCATGTCTGAACACTATCTCTAGACTATCTGCAACTCTACCATCTAGTTTCTCGCCTAAAAACAAACATAGCCAACTGAACGTTGGAAAAGAGTAATGAACGCATGGAAACTGAAAAACAACTGACTTGTTTTTTCAAAACCCTTAACTTTTGCATTTCGAAGAAAAAAATAGATGACCTCAAAGCTCTTTGAACTTGTAGAACAATTTATATTGGACAATTTTGCTAAAATCAACCCAATTTAAGAAAACTTAATCAATACGTAAAACTTATATTTCGCTGGGAAATCTGATAATTAATTTCCATTTTCAAATTCAGAAGTCGATCACGTTTTTCGTGACCTTTACACTTTTGCTGTTCGATAGAGGAGTTTGCCTTCGTTTTAACAATAGAAATGCACTGAACCTTGAAATAAATCACAAGTCAAACCGCAAAAAATCAAAACTGAACGTGAACTAATTTTAAGACTTTTCTGAAAAAAAAATCAGCAAGACCTATATAAGAGCACTCACTACGTTCATTACTCTTAAACTTAAAAATTTTAAGTGAGCAGTCAACAACTGTTAAAGATAATATAAATGGCATGTTCATAACATAGCCAAATTTCGCTGTTCGATTGTGGAGTTTGCCTTCCTTCTAGGAAATGAAATGAACTGAAGAAGAAATCACAAGTCAAACTGTAAAAAAGTAAATTTGAGCCTGAACAAATTTATTGACTTTAACGAAAAAAAATTATCTCGACCTATACAAGAGTCTGAATTACGTTCATCGGCTCTTAAAAACTGGAAATAAAACGACGGAAACCAGGACGACGAATCGGAAAAAAAATTACACAACATATTTATTCGAAAAAAAAACAATTAATGCCTGAAACAAACTCCATCTAATTAATACCTAGCCAAATAAAAGTAGTGTTACATAAATTTTCTAAAAAAAATTGAGCATATCAGCATCTGCACATAACATTTACCATTCCTGCCAAATTGACGATTCTGTGAACACAGTTATTTACGGGAAAGACTTCTACCCGGTTGCATCACTCTTGTTGATCTCAAGTAAAAAAAATAATAAACACATAGCACGCATTGGATTACAATAAGTGCGGAAAAGGAATTTATCAGAATTATGTTTAAGGCAAAAAGATTGTTCACTTGCTCCAAAAATCATCAAAATACTCAAGAGACAGCGAGAACATTAAAAAAAGAATAAAAAATGATATTAAAAAATTTTCTTTCTTCGAAGAAATTTCAACTTTTAGGTTCCAAAGAAAATATATCAGACACATTTTTCTTAAAACTAAGCATTTGGAAAAGTTTATCGACCGGCCAAATAAAATCCGTAGCGAAGATAATAAAAAGATAAAAAGGACTGCCGGTCGCTGTGCAAGTAGCACAGAATATTTCGACAACATTCACTAAAAAACAAAACCAATTTTTTTTTCTTATTAGAGTCCTTTTTGTGCGTCGTGCGATGAGAGAGGAGTACCCGAACGCAAAAAAAATAGTGAACTGAACATAATTAACAACAAAAACGAATAACAAATGAAAAATAAAATCAGAAAAAACCTTTTGAAAATACTTTCTTTTAATTTTATTGGCCAGGAAACGCAAAAAAACTTCCGATGCTAAATTTACCGGAGTAAAGCTAATTTTTCCAATTCTAAAATGAAAGCAAGCCAATTTCTAGCAAGCTTTAAACTGTCAAACCGGTTTTCGCGAAACTGTGATAGCTTTAAGTATTTTTGTGTCGGAGTCACGACTGAAAAAGCTTTAAATTAGATATCACTTCAACCATTTTGATAGTTCGTTCTGCTACCAGATTTTGCCTGAGGAAAAAGAAACAATTACATTTATAACAAAGTGGCTCTCCATTTAAAAAAACGGAACAATTCAACTTTCAGAACTAAAGTCAGACAAGTTTTTTCTTGCTATTTGAACATTCGTGAGAGGATGGTGTAATTTAACTTCCTTTTAGTAAATGAAATTGAAATAAACTTTCAAAAAATCAAAAATGCAAACGCAGAAATTTGAGCGTGAGCTTTCTAAAAAAATCCCAAAAAATTATCGCGACTTTTATAAAACTTACAAAACAAAATTTGTGACATCAATTTTTTCCCAGGCTACGGCCGGAAGCAAGTTTTGTAGGCGCTATGATGTCCTAGAAAAGACACAAAAGAAAGTCAGAAATTTTAGAATTGAGCACTTGCATTTTTTGAGAAAAGAACCTCGACGCAGGATTGAAAGGCAGAATGCACAATTGATTCTCTCAAAACTCTTGAAACCCAAAAAAGGACCCTGTTTTGCCAAGAACTCTGCGCCACAAGCAAAAAATTGAAATAAGGTGCCAAAATACTATTTAAAACCCCGTTTGAAAATATTTTCCGAAAAAATACGAGGCACGCTCTACTTAATAAAAACTAGTCGGTAAAAGAGCATTTTGAAAATTTTTGAGGCCGGTATAAGTTCAAAAAAAAATTACCAGAAATCAGAAACCAGACCATTTCAGAGGGAACAGAAAAATCTGACCAAGTGGCCACCCTGCCTAGACTTCCGATCTATTACACGCAAAAACGAGGGGGTCGAAAATGAGTCTAAAAGCACACACAGAGGTGGAGCTGCATTTCGCAATCACAAGCGACGAAACTGTAAAAGAAGCTTGTATATTAAGATGCAAGAAACTACAAAACTTAGGAAATAAGCTTTGAAAAATAAAAAAAAATGTGAGCACTCCGGGATTCGAACATCCGACCTTCAGTTGAACAGTCTAATGTCCACAGCACTTGGCCACATGCTATTAAAGCTTCCAAGCACTAGCAACCAATGAACTGGATAGACACTATTTTATCCGCATTGGTTTGTCTGGAAAAAACTAGATTAGAAATATAATACTACGCAAGCGAGTTTAATTAGCTTCGAAAACAAGACAGATGTTTAGCTCAAGAATATCATATCTCAGCAGAATTTAAGCGTCCAAAAAATTCATTTCTGCTGAAAATTTTTCATAACTCAGATACTCTCCCCGAGAACTCTAAACGCATAAAGCCGCACAATCAGATGCGGCTAAGCCTATTGAAAGTTTACAGAAAAGTATTTATACGTCCAAATCAAGTTTTAAAACAATTCTCATCAAAAATATCAGATAAAGCTTGGTTATTTTCATGCATTTTTCCATTTCAAATTCAAACTTTTGATCTCATTCCTTTACAAATCAATTTGAAGGACAAATTTTTAAATCGAGGAAACAACAGGCAATTGATTGAATAAAAGCTACGTCTGACGCTATTTAGCAAAAGAAGGCATTAAAAAAACTATCTCAAGATATATACATACTCGAAAAATTCAACATAACTACTCGTTCATTCATTTAAACTAACAAAACAAATTACCTTTAAGGCTAAGCTCCTTTATTCTTTCATCCAGGTTTTTAGCTTTCTAAACAATCAAAAAAAGTTTTAAAAATCTTCAGTTTAAGGAAAAAAATCTGTGAAAGAAATTTAAAACCAAGTAGTTTTTACATCTATGCATGATATGACTGAATTGAGAGGTTTCGTCCTGTTCTGTTCACAGCTCACTTTGTACAGTTGGATCAGGTCATCCTTGCTAACCGAATCGCCTAAAGAAATCAAGTAATTAGGTTTAGTCTCGATCCCATTCAGCTTTTTAGATAATGAAGTAATAGTAGACGAAAGATATAATTAGGTTTAGTGCATTTTCAATTCAGACTATTCTTTACGGTGAAGATAAACAAAGAGAATGTAATTAGCGCTTCGATACCCTTAGACCAAGAATTTTTTTTTGGTATTGTTTTGTCTAAACGGGCGTCTAGAAGGTCCATACGTCAATTAAGTAAAACAACTTTCCAGGTAATGAAACCTGTCCGATGATTCTGTCAACAATTTCCTAGAACCTTTTGAGTTTTTTAAGCTCTATTAATGGTAAAGAAAATATTTTAGTGAAAGTTCATCTAAATTTGGATCCCGCGCTTGTAACTCTCTACCATAGAAAAAATAACGGTTATGAAAAACTTAAGCAAAGGTTCCCCTACATTTGGGTAGAAATAAAAACGAGGAAAAGGGAGCAAATGGTGGTGAGCAGTGCGCTAGTAGTTTAGTTTTAATGATTGCTTTAATCACATGGCATACCAGGCTGAGGCAACAGTTTGTCGCATGCGACATTTGGCAGCACCTCAAGAAACGACAATCCGTCGCAGAACAATTTGCCATAATACGCATAGCCAACAGACAGTTGGAAAAGTGTCAATGAACGTACGGAAACAGAAAAACAACTACCTTTTTTGAAAGAGGTTCAAATTTCACAGAACAAATATGTGTTCTTAACGGTATTTGATGTTGAGCAAATTATGATTGACAATTTTTGATTAAAATAACCCACTTTTTTATTTAAAAAAACGGTGATACATTACAAAGGGTGGCATATCGAACTGATCTTGGCAAAAACTCAGACACTCAGCTAATCAAAAACTTTGATCCCCACCGTGACTCAAACTTGGCGTATAGCCCTTCGGTCAGATGGTTTCGCCACAGTATCAATCACACGCACACTTTAGAGAAGAATAATCAATTCAACAGCAGCTGTTTCCTGTATTTGCTCCTTAGATTTATTCAAAAAAAAAATAACAGTTAATAGCAAACTGGGACCACAGTTAATAGCAAATACATATGAATTTGAATTGAACTCAGAAAAAGCATATTCAGTGCTGATTTAAACTATCCGGACAAAACGACTAAAACTTGAAATTTCGAACGCGTTTTTCGTAAATTGGGTTGACTTTAGGCACAAATTGCTTAGAATTTTGGAAGAATTAAAATGGTCAAACTCAATTTCCAAAATTCGGGCCCACAATTTAAACCCAATATGGATCGGATCATTTTCGGCTTTTTGGTCAATTAAAAGTAACGGCAAAACTAACTGGTCGATCACTAATATAAAAACATCGATGTGAGCCTCTTATGTAGCAAAAAAAAATTTGAGAATAAAATGATCTCCAAAAATTTCGCAAAGCCAGAACGTTTCTAAAATGTTTCTAAATTAATAATGGTGTTTTATACAGTGAAAACTACTTTTTGTCGATCAAATAGAAATAAATTAATTTAAATAAATTTTTGGAGATTTAACCTCGCTTAAAGTTTGTTGAGCTACGTAAGAAGTTCAAGTGGATATAATTATATCAGTAATCGTCCTAGCAGTTTTGGCGTTTAATCGGCCTAACTTTTGATTGACTAAAAAAAAGCCAACGATGATCTATTTTGGGATACAATTTTGGGCCCCAATTTCGCACAACAAGTTGTGCTATATTAATTCTGCTGAAACTCTAAGCAAATTCTGTCTTCTTAATTTTTCACTTAACCTCAAATCCAATTCGAGAAAAATGCTTTTGCAGCCAGCTAAAGCTGAAAATAGAAGTAGGATAATTTTTGATTTTTTGTACTGATGCAGAAGGAAAAGTGTTTTTTCAAAATCAGATCAATAGCAAAGAAAAGTAAACCCCAATTTAATGACTTCAAAACCTGTCAACTTCATCAACTAATTGAGTTTTCTTTATAAAAATTGAAGTGATTACAAAAGCTTGTTCGGTTGAAAGATGCTTAAAATTATGCTCAATAGATTTGGGGGGGGGGTAGATTTCGAGAGAATTCAAAAAGATTCAAGAAACAGTAAAAAATCGAAAATTTGATTTCTCCGAGGGTCATAACTTCTGGTGTAAACAAAATTGGGCGTATTCGCCTATAAAGTTGAGCTCTCCGCAGCCCGTTCTTTACACTGAAACCAATATCTCAGATTCGGGGGGGGGGGTGAGTATTTGAGAAAAGTCGAAAAGTTTCAAAACACATTCAAAAATTTGACTTTTCTGAGTCATAACCTTTTGTGTAAAAATATTTGGGCGTCACCGCTTATGCAGGGGAGCTTCCCACATTTTTTTTTATACATTGAAGGCAATATCCCAGATTTGGGAGGGTAGCTTTCGAGAAGTTTCAAAAAAGGTCAAAAAATCGAAAATTCGGTTTTTCCTAGGGTCATTTTTTGTGCAAAAGTATTTGGACGTAATCGCTTATGCAGGTGGAGCTTCTCACAACCCGTCCCTTCGATTTAAACTTAAATCTCAGAGGGTCATAACTTTTAGTGTAAAAATATTTGGGCGTAGCCGCTTATGCAGTGTAGTTTCTCAAAACCTGTTCTACTTGTTGAACACAAAACTTCAGATTTGGGGTAATAGTTTTCGAGGAAATAAAAAAAAAACCTAAAATTTGGGTAAAAAAATCCCCTCACACACTTTTCCAAAGGCTGTAGAAGGTGGGGTAAGGTAGAAAGAGACTAGGCTATTATACAGGCACAGAGGGGACTTGGCAGAATTCCAATTGGTCTTCTTTCCAAGAAGTAGTTTTTGACAAAAAATGAATTTTTGAAAAAGTGAAAAAAATTTTCCAGTGTCTCAAAAAAAAATTACAAAAAAACTCCGATTCCATTAATTTACATAATACCTGTTTTTATCAAATAGGAAGTTTTATTCGTTGTCCGGATAAACCAAATCAGCACAATTACCTGAGTGCATTCATAAATGCATTAAAATGTATGAATGCACATCTGTAGTTATTGGAGCATTTCAAGACTTTTAACAGAAAAAAAAAAACGATCAAAAAGGGCCGACATAAGTCTTCACTACGTACAGAGACTCTTAATTATACTAGCGAACAAAATCAAGCGCAAACTCACCTTTTTACGCTCTAAAATGCCTTTTGTAAAGTCCATTATGAACAACATTGCTTTCGATTTTCAGCGAAAATTTTATATAGCCCATGAGAAAATGATCAGAGCTACCCTCTATGCAACTATCAATATTTGGTTTTGAAAAAATGCAAATGTAATCCGGGGCTGAAAATGCCAAATTTCCTCATCTGCGCCAAGTTTTGCATCGAATGAACTCTTTCTCGAATAAGCGGAGTAGCGGAAAGTCACGAGAACTAAATTTTCTAAATTTAAGTAGTTTTCTTGATCCAATTAAAAAAAAAAACAAGGGGAGAACTACAAAGACCCAGCATTGGTTCAGCAATTATCAAACCTCGTTCAAAATACTTCGCCTCCATGGACCCAGTCACGATTGGTTCCAAGAACTGAATTGTGCGATGCCTCTCAGGTTCATTTGAGTCCATGTTTGCTGAACAACTATTACTTCTATGATTAACCCAACTTCGCATTTCATGTTCATCGTACACAGTTTTAGAGCGATCTCTTCCTTGTGATTCACTGTTTGCAATTGACATGCTGTTCTCGAGTTGACCGAATGTTCCTGTGTTCAGACCGTCGTCTGCACTTCCATCCGCTTCGTCTTCTAAGTCGACGCCATTTGGATCAGCTGCTGCTTCAGCCACTGAAAATTTAAAATCATTTACTCAGTCAGCTCTTAAAGTAGGGGATTTAGCAGAGGAACGCCCCTCCACCTCAGGGCTCAGGGTTTCGACCCCTTGCCAACTCAAATATTCCCCTTTCGTACTGTTTCAAGACATCCACTTTTGACTGACCAACCTTAAATTGGTTCTGAAGGCTCTTTCGACGCCAACATTACTAAAACTGAGGTGGGAAAGGGCAAAAAACGAGACTTTTTTGTCAAAATTTTGCAAAAAGAAACTAAGAACACCTTTTTTTGGTCAGTTTTTTACAATTTGGCTGTGGCACAGAAACTTTGGTAAAAATGGGGTCTTCAAATTTGTTGACCTTAAAAAAATCGGATATATTTTTGAAAACTTTCTGAAAGTCCTAGATTCGCATCAGACCTCTTGTGTTCCCCCATCTGAAAATTTTTTTAAAACAATTTAATCATTTTTATGTTTTACACACAAAACCAAATCAGGTTTTCAAGTGCTAAAATTAAGCGCAAAGTTTCGAAAAACAAAAACTGGAGCTTTTCATATTGGATTAGCATACGCTTCGATGAAGAAAAAACAAAGTAACCTTAATACAAGAAACAAGCCTGAAGCGGTTCTTTTTTGCTCTTATGTGTAAAATAGCCGTGATATTGATACAACAACTGTTGTGAGCGAAAGAGTGCACTTTATGACTACTTTTAGTATTTCTATCAATATTATCATGGGCCGTGTCAAATAGCTCTTTTTAGCTAATGATACAGCTATTGCGCTCCGGCGACATCCATACCTATCCAGGTCTGACCTTGAGTCTCGGAGACACTTGAGAAAGATCGAGACTGCAAGAGCAACATCAAAAACTTGCGAAGGACTTCACAGAAAAACTGATGTTCATGATTTTTTGTACTCTCAGACATAGTTCATTTATTCAAATGCTTTTCAGCGTTTCTTCAGATTTGAACATAATCGGAGAAATCGTGCCTTAAAATTATTATTTCAAAAAAACTGACATTAGTTACTTTGTTTACTGATATCTCATAATGCACAATTTGAATTGTAAATTTATTTTTAAAAACTTTCAAAAAAATGGGCGCTGGAGACAGATTACTTTACCCCAGCCCAATGATGTAACTAAAGCGAGCGAAAAACAAAATAAGGTGGTGTCATGATTCAGGGGCAAAACGCTCAAACTTAAAATAATTAATGACCTAAATTTGATGCACACCAAATATGACAGTTTCTTGATGGAATTCAATTAATCCAAAAACAAAAGAACACCTTCCACAGAACGGCAAGACAAACCAGCTATGTATAATGAAAATTAAATATGATACTAATGGTGAGTAAAACTTACGATTAGAAGACCGACAAACGGAAAACTATTTATGCAAATTTTAAGCCATATGATCTAGAAGCCGCTATAAAATCAACATGAAAAACAATTCCATCTAAACGCACAGCTCAGGATAAATCTAATTATTCCGACAAACTTCAAGCTCGCGTTAAAATAAAATGAGAATCTTCTTATGAGGCAAGATGATGCTTAAAAGAATGAATGTTTCCGATATTCAATTTGAATATCTAAAGCTGTGTCAAAAAGTGTCCACCAACTAACCTTCCTGATTTATAAAATGACAAAACAATAACTAAAATCTAAGATGTCAATTTCATACCAAAACTAATGAAATCATAAACAACGGGAGTCAGATTTGTACCAACAAAAACGACAACAGGAACAAGCCTACTCATATCATGGCGAAGCCCTGAAAGTTCCGACTGCATGTTAAGGTATATGGAGAAGTTATCGCTGTTACAAAATGGGCAACTTTTAAAAAAAAAGAAAATTGAAAATCATCGCCCCGTACGCTGTTTAAAGTACAAACTGATAAATTTTTCTAATAGCTGAGTAACAAAAATTCCAAAGAGCTCGCCTCAATTCAATTTGAAACTATTTCTAAGATGGAATAAATCTCCCCTATGCGTGAATAGCACGAAACATACAGCGCCTTAATTGCCCCAAATTGTCTTCAAATCTCCATATTTTCACAAAAAAAATCACAGATAAAAAATCTTTTTAAGTTTGAGTTCGAGACAACAGTACTTTTTGAAGCATATAAACTCATTCCATCAAAAACAGCTAGTTAAAAATTCGAAATTCATCACAAAAAAAGACCCCGAGCACAAATACGTTTCTCATCGAAAATAGTCGGAACAATTACACAAATTCTTTCAAGGAACTGATAACAACTCTTGTGATCGATAGGGTGCACTTAATGATTATTTTTAATATTTCTATCAATAATATCATGGGCCGTTTCAAATAGCTCTTTCTAGCTAACGAAAAAAAACTATTGCGCTCCAGCGACATCCATACCTATCCAGGCCCAACCTTGAGTCTCGGAGACACTTGAGAAAGATCGAGACTGAGGAGCAACATCAAAAACTTGCGAACGACTTCACAGAAAAACTGATGTTCATGATTTTTTGTACTCTGAGCCATAGTTCATTTATTCAAATGCTTTTAAGCGTTTCTTCAGATTTGAAAATAATCGGAGAAATCATGCCTTAAAATTATTATTTCAAAAAATTGACATTAGTTACTCTGTTTACTGATATCTCAATGCACAATTTGAATTGTAAACTTATTTAAAAAAAATTTCAAAAAAAGTGGTGTCATGATTCAGGAGCAAAATGCTCAAACTTAAAATACTTGATAACCTAAAATTGATGCCCACCAAATATCACAGTTTCTTGATGGAATTCAATAAATCCAATTTTAGAGCCAAACCGTGGCAGCTCCAAAATTTTTTAAATCGGCAAAAAAACTTTGAATTTTTCAATCATTTTGCTATTCAGCGATGTAATATGGGACAACAAAACCGAAAAAAAAAAACAAGCTAAGAAGCTTAGGCCGAAGAAATTCTTTATAGCAAAAAAAGAAATTCTTGAAACTCAGTTAGCTGTGCCATTATAATAGTTTTACAAACATTCTAACAGAAAAACTCTGGGATGTTTAAAAACCATGCACTATATTTTCTCTCTTGAAAATGACGATAAAAAATTACTTCGAATATCTACATCAAGTTAGAAAAAAACAATCGGCAAGTAAGCCGACTGAAATTAGGAAGAAATCAATAACGACGACAGAAAAAAAAATTATTTTCAGCTTTAGATACAGTATAACTTGAGTAGTACTTGTCCCGCTTTTAACCTGAGCTGTTAGACGTAGAACTTGGCTAGAAACGGAGTTCTTTAATTAGAGATACTGTGAACAAATCTTTTTACGGGGAAAAAGGTCTAGAACCCGATTACAAAACCCTTGCTTATTGCAAAGGTTATAATTCATAAACATGATTTCTGCCCTTCTCAAAGAAAGGACTTCCTTGAAAATTATTGTCATCATGTAGTAGTAGTAGTAGTAGTAGTTGAGGCTTCTGGGAAGCCACGCTTCCCAAGGGTTTATGAGTCCCGTCATTTACATGTTTTCATCAAGCTAAGTTTGAGCTTCGAGTTTTTTCCAAACTGTTTACATATGTCTACAAGGATAGCCGGTTACTATGCAAGTAGCACAGAATATTCCAACCAGTAGTCTTTAGAAAACTACGGTTTCGAAGTTTTTTTCCGTATTAGTGCGGTTTTTTTCTGCTTGGTGATAAAAAGATCTGACGTAAAAACATAATTTAGGCATATTACTCAGTCATAGTAAAATAGACAAATTGGACAAAAATTTTTAATTAATTTTTTTGAAGTTTTTGGGTCCTAAAAGCTTAAAAAGTAGTTTAAATTGCTTAAAACTAAGTTTAACGGTCTGAAATTAGGTATACTTCAGCTTATAAGCCTGCTCGCTTGCTTTATTTGCTCGAATTGAAACAAAAAATCAAAAATTTCAAACTGGTTTTTCTCGACACTGGAATTTTTCATGCGGTTCAAATCACGACTGAAAGGGCTTTAATATGATATATCACTCAACCCAGTCCGATCATTTTTGTGGTACCTGATATTGCGTGGAAAACAAAAAAAAACGAAAACACACTCAAATACAAACTTCCTCCCCATTTTCAATGGTCGGAACAACATGATAAAGTTAATTTTGATGCTTTCATGATCCTCTTTTTATCATCTCTGGCGCTATTTCCAGTTTCCTTATGTGATCTTTTAGTTTGTTCATTGTGAATTTACTTTTTCCAACACTATGTGGACAAATTTAATACTTCGACATTATAGCAGATATGGACATTTCGAACGTCCGACTCAAAACAAGAACGTCCGACTCCAAGGGATATGGAACTGAAAAATCTTTTGATAAGGGCATTGGTCTTTACGTAATGAAAAAAAACATGCGAAGAAAAACTTTAAAACTTACTAGAATCAGGACAGTTTGAGAAACGAGAGAACACAAAAGACTCGACAAAAGAAGGTCCTCTTAAATTTTATCGACAAAATCAATTCGATATACAAGTCCACGATGTAATTATATAATGCTGGTATAGTCCTATCCAGCTTGAAAACGGATCGTCAGGGCAGGTCGAAAATTAATCCTCATTGCAATTAACTGTAATTAATGAAAACTTTTTCTTGCTTTTAACTGATTGCCATTCCTGACCAATTACAATTAAATGATTGCGCTCTACCAATTAATTGCAATCAATTTTATCAAACACATTTCTTAAAAACATCCGCATAGAAAAACTACTATATATGGATTCGCATTCTTTACTTCAAATTTGCTTAGAAGATTTTTCAGCACTGCATAATATGCATAATCTGATCTTTGGCAAAATTTGTAGCCTCAAATCCTCGTAATGCAGTTCTTTCCAATAATCAACAGAAAATACTGGGATGACAATGAAATCGTGTCAACTGTTTTTCAACAAGAGTGATGCTACGTGCTTGCAATTAATAGTACAATTAATTGCAAATTAATTTTGGGTTGTGCCTATTAATTGATAATTGATTTTTAACATTCCAATTAATTGCAATTCAATTTTCTGTTGTCCAAATAGTTTTTGAACTGCCCTGCGGATCGTGGCTAAAAGGACGGGCTCTTTCTAAATTCTTAAATCAATTACTCAGTTTATTTGTTTTGTGTACCTATAATTCAAATCAATCTAACATACAACGTACGCTTTATAAAAAAATTGTATGCACTACTATTATTCGGCAACTCAATTTTTCATACAGCCTTTGGACGCAAAGGCAGTAAAAATTAGGAAAAAGACGGAAGATACAGTAATACTCAGCTAAGATCAAAACGTTACCTACTCAAAATGTTTTCAACTGGTGCCTCAAGCAAGGATTCAATGGACGCCTCGATTGACTCATAGCTGGCTTGTTGGTCGCTGGTTTTTCCTTGTGAATCTAATTCAATTGGATTATCTGGCTCACTCTGTATTTCAACCTTAACAAAAGTGTCTTTTAGTTTCGCATTTGATGTTACTGCGCCTTCTTCGAAAGCATTTTCGAGGCTCATAATTATCATTTCAACATTATTCTTAAATCTGAAACGATGAAAAGGTGAAACTTTTGATATTCGTTTTTCGAAGATATTCATTTTAATTCTAAATTATAAATAATTATACTTAATATACATTTTCAAGGTAATCAGAAGGTCAAAAGTATCATAGTAACCGAGGTTACAGTCATGAGTCCCTTCATCATGTATTCCAGTCAAAATCCTTGGAATTTTTTAGATATGGAAGTGATAATGATAAAAGAAGATGACAAGTGTTTAAGTCCTTTTCAATTAAAATCGATACGGGTTACGTTTCTTCAATAAGAACACGCAATTCGACACGAGATAATATAATATACAAGTGTTACAAGTAAAAAATTTCGTCGAAAGTTATTTTGTCATTTATTGTTCCGAGTACGCAAGCGGCGTTCGCAATCTGTATTGCCAGGGAGATTCTCTGTGTGACATTCGACCAGAATGTGCCAAAATGCAATCTCTTCAGTTTAGTCATTTTTAGCAGCGAGCCTTCCGAGTTAGTGATTTTGGAGGATTAAGAACGTTATTTGAACGATTGAACAAAACGTGAAGGTTGAAGGATTCGGAAATTCCTAAATTTGAAATTTCCGAAGTGATTACGTAACATTTCTGAGAAACGTCAGAAACGGCCATTTTGGCAGAAAAGCAAAAAAGCAAGAGAACAACATTAGCTGCGATTGCGAGAAGTGCGGAAATTGTGATAAAAAACGACAACAAATCACGGAGCTGACAGAGAACGTTCCGAGTTGCAACTATTGTGTCGCTACAATAGTTGCAAGGCTGTTGCAGACAACGGTGAAGGGTGGAAGACAGCCTTCCGGATTACGGAGAAATCAAGATTAACATACTTGATTCAGTGGATTCAAGAATCCGGAAGGGTTTCGGGACTGAAACTTTTATCCTGTTATATAAACTTTTAGCTTCTTGTCATGTCCTGAATTGAATTTAATTAACAACTAGATTCATTTTGATAAGGATGAGAAGCTAGGAGTTGGGGGAAAGGGTTGATCCATCTTCGATGGAGATGATGATTTTTATCTACTGAACAAAAACAATAATAATTCAATAAGTAGTAGCCCTGTTTTTAGGAGTGACCTCGTTGTCTGGGGATACTGAGACCCAGCCATGAGCTCACTATTTTTGCATGTAATTAAGTTAATTTGAGTGTTTTGACCGAAGCCGAAAGCAGTAACGTTTTTGTCGACCCGATATTAGAAAAGACCACCGAAAGTACTGGCTTGGTAGAGACGGTGAAAAGCATATAAAGCTCTGTTTAGACGTTAGCCAGTCGTCTTAGGACTTAGTTTTATTTTCCGTCGATATGTATCTTCCGGGCGAATGTTACATACATGTTTTTATGGCGCTCCTGGGTGTTTTTCTTATTTAACATCATGACCGGCAGAACCGTTAACGAGCACTCCGCGCCGACCGGATGCTCACATTAACGCCCTTAAAAGGCCTAAACCGCCGGGGCGGAAGGGTAGTTCGGAACGCGGAAGCCTTCCGGATTACCGTGAATAGCTTTTTAACTTAGTTAAGACCGAAAATTCACGAACCAAGAAGGGTGGGGTGATCGGCCATTCCCTTGTTCCCTGAGAGGTTTGTGACCAAAAACACTTAAAGATATATATAAAACCAAACAAAAAGTAGTATAGTACCCAAGAAAAACAAAAAACATAAAAAATAACCGAAAAAACCAAAAACAGTAAAAAAGTAAAAAATCAGTAGAAATCATCCCCTGTAACATTCGCCCAAATACTACACAGTGACGGAGTGTAGAAAAAGTACCTATTAACGACTGGCAGGCGTCAGTTACCTTAATCCTACTCGTTTTTCACCGTCTCGACCTTGCCAGTTGATTTTCTGGTCTGTTTAGGGCTAAGTAAAAAGTTACTATTTTTAGACCATCAGTCAAACGACTTTTGATCAGCTTTCGTTTACATGAGAACACAACCACATAGCTGAGTCTCGGATCCTCAGACTACGTGATTGCCATTAAAAACACGGCTCGAACAACCTATATTAACATGTTTTTGTGTGACAGTTCTATATTAAATCCATTGGAGATGGATTGACCCTTTCCTCTTCATAGCTACTCATATTCTAAAATATCAAATTATACCGGTGTTAATTTAAAGTTTCACGACATCCAAGTAGCTATACAGTCAGTTTTATATAGTCTCCTCACATAAAACAGTCTCTGGGGGACCAAGCCTCCGCTCCCGTGATATTCCTGCAATAACGCTCTTATCTCTTCCAATTTGTGTCCCGGGAGGGTTCCGTGGTATATTCCTTCCCCACTGAAGCTTCCTTCTCCACTAATATCCGCTGATAAGGGTCTTATCTGTGACATTCGACCAGAATGTGAAAAATGCAATCTCTGCAGAATTCGGAATTTTGGCAGTAAGCCTTCCGGATTGGTGGTTTTTATGAACTAAGGGCGTTATTGGAACGTTTAGCCAAACGGTGAAGGCTGGAATATTCTAGTATTTTAAAATTTCAAAAATTCGAAGGATGACGTCACATTTCTGAGAAATGCTGAAACGGCCATTTTAACAAGAAACGAGAGAAAAAACAACAACATTAGTTGCGCTGACGAGAACAACTTTATCGAAATTGAGGAAATCGAAATTGAAGAAGACGACAACGAATTACAGGGAACGTTCCGAGTTGCAACTATTGTGCTGCTACAATAGTTGCAAGGCCGTTGCGAGCAACGGTGGAGGGTGGAAACCAGCCTTCCGTGTTATCGTGAATTCGAACTTAAGGAGCTTGATTCACCAGATTCAAGAATCCGGAAGGGTCTCGGGACGGAAAACTTTTATTGTAACTGCACTACTATAATAGATAGAACCGGTTAAGTTTAGTTCGGAAATGGTTGGAACTATTTTGGAACCAAAAACCGAATTTTCGTGATTTTTGAGAAACCGAAACACTAAAAATTCAGAAAATTTTTTGAAATTTTGAGTTATAACAGTAAAAACAGTTGTTCGGACAACGTCCACTAGTGAATCTACGAGTTTTAAAACCCGCTACCCGAAAGCCTTCCGGGTTGCAGAGAAATCGAACATAACGTGTTTGATTTGGTGAATTCATCAATCCGGAGGGGTCCAGGTAGCATAGTTTTTCGCAAATTTTTTCTACAAAAGCGTTTTAGATCGGGTCTTTTGCATTGAACTAGAAGAATATAGGCCTTCTGAGCTCGGATCAATAATTTTTAGGTCGAAAGGAACAGAATTGCGGAAAAAGTTAGGTGGAACCTATAAGTGAGAAATTTTTTGAGTTTACAAAAAAGACGTTTTGGTTAATAACTTTGGAACTACAGGGCATATCGAGTTGATCTTGGTACCAATAGATCAGAGATTAGCTGAGCTTACTGACAGGATTGGGAAATTTCCCGGAAAAACGAGCGAGAAAATTTTTTGAGATTGTTTTTAGCAAATTACACAAATCCGGAGGGGTACACCGTTCACGTTTTATAAATTTTTCTGAAAAACCCTTATACCCCTACCAAAAGTTGATAGCGATTGAACTAAGTAACTTAGGACAGTTCTAGACAAAAAGGGAGGGCTGAAGGCACAAGACAACTATAATAGAGTCGAAATTAGGCAAGTGATAAGACCCTTCACCGTTAGTGTGAATTGTCAAATAAGTGCCTTAACTTCAATCCGGAGGGGTCTAGGAAAGGACCCTATACCCTTCCCAGTTAATTCAAACAGCATAAAAGCAACGCAGAACGCATCCGGAGGGGTATAAGCTGAAATTAAGAAAACTACGAAAAGCTACTTTGACAGAGCTAAGGGCTCCGAATCCGGAGGGGTCTACTTTCCACAAAACCGGAGGGGTCCGAATCCGGAGGTGTCTTATAGTTGCTAATTCGGAGGGATCCAAATCCAGAGGGGTCTACTATTAACTAACTCGGAGGGGTCCCAATCCGGAGGGGTCTATATTCTGACAGTCCGGAAGGGTCCTATTTGTGCCAATCCGGAGGGGTATTATTTTATTAAGGACTTAGGTAAACGAAAGAAAGACTAAAAAGCGAGAGGTATTAGGTTATTAATACACAGGCTAGGTATCAGTGACTGCACTGGTAACTTGCCTTTCAAAAAGAACCAGACTAATACAAAACAGGTCCGAACTTGGATATTCGCGACACTAAGTCTAAATTAAAAAGAGCGTGACTCATTGGTGTGGATTGAAACATAATACGTTTTTGGGAAAAGTGACTGCCCTGAGGATTTTAGTAGGTCTAGCTCGGGCAGTCCGAAGGCAGATAGGTAACACAGTACTCGGTGGGTGCAATAGACGCCCACTTGAGAAAATTACTGCCTTCGAAGTTTTGTCTGTTTGGTGCAGCACCAAGCAGGGAAAGCTTTTTCTTTAAAAGACAGGTTCGACTATTGTACTGCGACCGACTAAGAGTACAAGACAGATACGTTTTTTTTATATATACATTCATATTGTGTCAACATATATTTTTGTTTTTGATTTTAAATCAACGTAAACTGTGCTTGATTGGGTAGTGAATACACTATCTTTTAAATTGACTGATAACATCATATTGTGCTAGTTTCCAGATCTTTGGACCGATAATCGGTTAGTGTGAATAAATTTTATACAAACTGTACTCTGACAACATACAGGGATTCTTGGTCACTATTTAATAGAATCTTGTGAAATTTATTGTGTTGTGTCATTATTATTGTTAATAAAACTATAAAGTCTCTAGCAATCGAGTTAAGTATAGGTATTAAAAAGTGACAAATAGAGAATGAGTCTAGACAAGTCAAGGATACCAAAACGAGGTAATAGCTCTAGAAAATTCATACCTGAAGAGCAAAGAAAGACGATGACCGATCCTTTTGTGGATTGGATCAAGCGATCCCGGTCCGATAAAGAGGAGACGGTTTCAGGCAGAATGGTTGAAACGAGAAGTCAGAAGACCTCGGAAGAGCGAAGAGAACTGTTAGAAGTGGAGGTCAATACGGACCATACCATGAACGACAACCAGGGA